GTTCCAAAAACCTGACACTCTTGCTCCCTACAGAGGGCAGGTGCTGTGGTCCAGCACACACAGTCCTGGCTCACACGACCATCAGTGGCTGAATTGACTGGTAGAGTGTGAGAACACAGGGCACCCAGTCTTGATCTGTACAGCTAGACATATGCCTCTCTGTGAGGAGTTCACAATCTCGTGGAGCCCTTTCCCCAATTCATCAAGCAAAGTAGTTCACAGATGGGGAGTCTGTCGAGAGGGAAGGGACCAAAACTCATGCCGGCAACTGGGACAAAATAATAGACTTTCAAAGTCACCAGAGCCTCAGAGACACCCTGCAGTGGGGCTGGGGCAACAGCCCTGGGGTCTTCGCACGTGACTTCTGCCTGCCACTCTGGACCACCTCCTCGGGCGGCTCACTCGGAGATGGTTGTGGAATACCAGTCATACTTTCTGTAGGTCACGGTGCACCTTCAGGATCTCCAAGATAAACAGCGCAGAACAAAGCTCCCTTGAACTTCTGCGCACACCGAACAGGACACCCGACTCAGCAGCATTCCCGCTGTGCTCTGGGGGTGGAGGAAGTGAAGACCTGGGTTTATTAGGATGGGGCCTGGCCCCGCTCCAGGCTCTGTGTGGCTGACACCCACGCCCCTGCTCTTCCAGACTCCAGGCTCCGGGTCAGCTCAGCACGGCCCTACCACAGATAGCAGCTCACACTGCTCCGGTTTGCAGATTTTTCTCCCCTCAAAAATGAATACAATATGTATCCTAATCTCAAGCAGATCTTGAGAAAATAGGAGCCGCCAGAGGATTCCTTTGGTGTTATGGTTGTACGGCTTCCCAGACACGGACAGAGACGTGATTTGCGCTTTCCTGGCAATCCCCTGGCCTACTCATTTTTCCGTAGACTTTCCAGTTTAAATTTAGGGCTGGCAATGGGAAGGGAATGCAAGACAGATTTACGTGTGTGCTGTGTGTGCACGCATGTCACGTCTAAAGCTCCGGTTGGCACCCCTCGCGGATGCACAAGGGCAGGAGGGCCAGTTGCCTCGCGGCGTCCCAAACGGTGAGGCCGGAAGGGTTTAAGGCAAGAAAAGTGGTGTGATCATTTTTGTGAATTAAAAAATAATACTCTGTGTGTGGTGGGAGCATAGATACATATTTATACGAGGGTACTTCTGAAAGTGTGTGGAAAAACAGAATTGAAAAATAATATGAATCTTTCCAGGAACTTGTCGAAGTGCCTGCACATGTGTATGTGTGCATGCGTGTGCCCCATCACCCCGTCTCCAGCCCCGTGTCCCACCCACCTGCCTGGCACATGTTGCGTACCTGAGCATGAGCTTGCCCTGTCCCTGGATCCTCCACCCCGCCCAGAGTGTGCTCACTTCTGCAAAGAGAAACCAACTCGCCCAAGTTCACACTTGAAACACAGGACCCGTGAGATGTGCAGAGCAGCCTCCTGAGCTCATTCCCTTGCAGTTCGCGTGGTCTTCTGTACATCTGAGTAAAAGGTTGCCACATTTGGATTTTAAAGTAAGAAAGAATGTACGGGTGGAAATTGAGGATTCCCTAATTCTCAAACAGAAGAGAGGGCCTCATTGTGTGCATTACTATAAATAAATTCAGCCTCCTCTTGCCAAGAAGAGCAGAGGGTTAACATAAAGTATATTTATGGATCTGTCGAACAAAGGCTCCTGCCTTGGCAGCCAGCCTGAATTAGTGAGGGAGGGGGTGGCATATTCAGAGCAACATGGTTTTCCATCAGGGGACTGAGGCAGGGAACACAGATCACCTCTGTCTGGAGATGGATCCTGCGCAGCCAGTGGAGTCTGTAGTCACCATACATTTAACACTGTTTGTTTGAAAGCCTGGAGCTGGTCCACTGGAAGGTTTTCCATCAGGGGACTGAGGCAGGGAACACAGATCACCTCTGTCTGGAGATGGATCCTGCACAGCCAGTGGAGTCTGTAGTCACCATACATTTAACACTGTTTGTTTGAAAGCCTGGAGCTGGTCCACTGGAAAAGCTTCTCTGGTTACTCTTTGCAGGGTGCAGTGGGCAGGGTTCCTTCCCCATGTGCCGTCCCTGCTCCCTGCAGCAGATGGACCGGGAGGACCATCTGCTCTGCTGAGAGGGGAGTCTTCCTCCTGGCTGCCTGCTGCTCGGGGATCTCTTGGGGGCTTTCAGCTCAAGCCTCTGCAGCGCCTGTAGCGAAGGTTCCTGATTAAGTGGACAGGTCGTGATCCAGGGTGTCCTGAGCCCCAGACACTTATTTCACAGGCCCTGACAACATTTCACAGTACAGCGTCTTTAGCCTTGAGGCAGAGTGACTCAGGTGGCCTCTTTCATCCTACCTTTTGCCAGCAGCAGCCACCACAGGTCTCTGTATGAAGGGGATCCCTGGATGCACCAGGAGGGCACCCTCTTCATAGAGTGCCTCGTCACCTCACGGCCCTGCAGGAGTGCCTTTGCACTGGGGGTTTTTTGGACCAACTTGTCCTCCATGAGTACATATTATACAACTCGAGACCATGTCTGTGCTCTTTTGCCTGGAAAAGGGTCCATGTGCCTGTCCTTTTTGCATCCCCCTGTGAGGGCTCTCTGGTG